AGAACTGTCTGGATTGAGTGTCAAAGCTTTCATACTGAAACCTAGGCTTTTCGGTTAACAGCAGCTTCAAGTTATGTTTCAAAACATTGTTGCCTCTCTGGTACTATTGTATGAAAAAATCAACATTTTTTTTATTCTGCTGCAAAATGAGAGTTACTATTACACTGGTTGAAAATGTACTGAGATTTGTTTTGTGTTTTTTTAAAGGTTTACATTAGCTATGGCATTCACAGTTGCACTAAGAAAAAGAATGCTGCACATTGGCATCGTATTCGTTTTTTTTGTCTTTTCGCTTAAGCAATGACACAATATGACTTTGCATTTTAATTAGCAAACACCATCTTTGGATTTGTGGAATTAAAAGAGTTAGTGAAACCATACAGTAATTAAAGAGTTCTTCCTAATTATAAACAAAAACACCTACTGCCGTGGAGGTTTAAAATGCAGCTTATCAGCAGTTTCAGGAACTGTTCATAAAAATTACTTGCAGCTTCCTAAGAGGATCAACAAAGCATCTTGTTTCAGGGTTTATCAGAAGACACCTTTTTTAAACACTTTTTTTTCAAAGAAGGCCTGTTTTGGCTTATTGGAACTAAAATGATTGAATGAAACCATGAATGATCTAAGGCTACCCAAAATGATGTGGTATGTGACTGCTTTATAGCTGTCACTGTGGAATTTTGGTGCAGTCTCAAAGGATGCACACAAGGTCACTGAAACTGTGTGTTCTTATAAAAGCCTGTGACAGTTCAAGATTCTCTGGCCTCTGTGTTTTGTGGATGTGAAGCTCCAGGCCATTGATGGGGGAACAAAGACATCTATGGATCTTCTGCTAAAGACAGAGCAATGTAATTTGGATCTAGAGCTGTGTATTATTAAAGAGTGACATGCGCAGTTGGAGAGAAGCTCAATAACGGGTTTAAGACTCAACTAAATCAACTAAGTATTTCTTGAATCACTTCATCCAGTTTGCCTTTCAATGCCCTGTCTCTCCATAAGTAGGTGTTCCTATACAGAAGAGAAAGTTGATTTAAACAAAGACATTTTACATGCAGCATCTCTCCCATGTTCTTTTAGTTGTCTTTCCAAATTCCAGAACATTTATTAATAATCAGCTTCTGCTCCTTATAAAGTTTCAAAAACCTTGTTTATGAGGACTGTTTCTTCTGAAAGTTCTCCATTGTGCATTTAAATGTGTCTGAAGTTTTTCCTGGTTGTGACCATGGTTACCCTTTTACTGTGGTTTTATAATGTCTTTACTTGCTTTGCCTTAACATCCCACAATTTGTATTGTGGATTTACTGAAAGTAAAAATTGCATTTACTAGACATAAACTGTAAGAAAGTACTTCTCTCCTTATGTGTGCTTATTGTGGTAAGAATGGGATCCATAATTTTAAAAATGTTTTTCTTTCTCAGAGCAGATACAATTTGACAAGTGAAATGCAAAATATACAACATTTAAATGAGCTATTCTACTTGGAACAATATGGCATTGATTCTTTATAAGTTATGTGTTTAATGTATGTAATTTCAGAAAGCACCAAAAGTGAGTACTTGAGAATATGGAGCTTGTCTCATTTAGTTTTAAGAGATGATTCAAACTTCTTCTTTTAGTATGATGTAGATTTAAATGACAGGCTAATTGTTGAAAAGGGAAGGTTTCTTGAATCCTGATTGTACATAATTACATCTGCACAGCAGGGCCACAGATCTGTAGATAATTGTGTGTTCTTCAGTTCCTCTGTGATTAGAATTAGTAGTAGTTCAAGACCAATACTTTCCCTAATGTTATTATAAATTAATTCTACTGATAAAATTCACTGAAGACTATGTTAAGAATATAGTAAAGAGGCTCTCAATTACTTAGTTTTGGTTAAGTTAAACATGATAAAAATAACTTGTGTTAAATTGATGATTCATCTATGTTTTTTTTTTATTTTATCATTCAGAAACACATTCAGAACTGAGTTTTATCTTCTTTGTTTTTCCATTGGCTAAATTCAGACCTCCCTTAAATATGGAAAAATCAAAATTTAAAAAGCAGTAGTTGAGTATCTCACTCTCAACCAAGAAAGTGTCTGGGTTGCATTAGAACACCTAGCATAAAAGTTATGTCTACTGGTCTACCTCTTTCTGTTGAAGCTATACAATGTGAGTTGATGCTTAGTGTCATGATATTAACATCATGTGCCCATTGAAATTCCACAGAGAAAGAGTTACATCCATTTTATGGTGTGTGTTATAATCCTACATCTGCCTAGAATGAAGAGTTGAATTTATAGTAAATATGCCAATTTAGGAGTCACTGTGACTTGTACACCAGAAATGAGGTCCTATAGTGCGATTTAAATTCCTCCACTGTAGCTTCTTAATTTATTGCAGTGCAGTTGTCATTCCTATCACTGAATTTTGATCACTGAATTTCTGATAATGTGAATAATATATCAACAGTACTTCATAACATTTAGAAATCCTGCTCCAGCCAAGAGCTACTTTAGTGTGACAGGATTTGTAAGACTGAACTGTTGCTGCTTATATTTTATTAGTGTGATGGTTAGCAACAGTGTGGTTGCTCTGAACACCATGTTGTTATTACAAAGATTATAATTCATTACACTTGTCAGCTTATTTAAAAACTGTATTGTGAAAACTAAGGATTTAGGAATTAATGATGGGAATTATGGACTGCATTGTGGTGCAGTGATTAGCATTGCTGCCTAGCAGTGCTGGGGCCCTGGGTTTATTTCTGCAGTGCTACAGTATGTCTATGCATGGACTTTGCATGATCTATCCATGTTCATGTAGGTTTACTCTGGGTCTATTAGTTTCCTCCCACAGTCCAAAGACATACTAGTAGGTTAATTGGTGTCTAGGCACTGATTGGCACTGGTTATGTGCATGTCTGTACCTGTGTGCCCTGCTGTGAACTAGTATGCTGTTCAGTATCCCTCCTTGTGCCTGGTACTTGCCAGGATAAGCTCTGTCTCTTCTGTGACCCTGAATTGGATGAAGCAGTTAGAAAACTTACTTGGATGTTTGATACATGTACAGGATGGCTGTGCAGAACATTCATTTATAGACTAAAGTATACATCAGTGTAAACTAAAATTAAAGAAAAACAATGCATGAAAGCCACCATTGGCATAATTGTTGATTAAACATTGTTTATGGGAATGTATTCTCTGTAGAATTTGCCAGATATAGATTAGAACTCTCCTTGGAGAGACACACATAACATATTGTTTTTCTTATTGTCATTTTGGCCTGAACTTTAAGATACTAACCATTTTATTCTCACAAAAAAGAACTTCTTTGTTCCAAAAATTTAGAAAGCAGCAGCTCTGAATTAGCCTTTTGCTAAAAACAATTTCTAATTATAGCTCACCAGAGGGTGATGATTGCATACCAGCAGTCCTGTGAAACATGTGGAAAACCTGATAGAATTAAAATCATCAGTTCCTTTCCCTTTTTGAAACCTAATACATAGCCTTCAGAATAATTACAAGTAACCATAAGTTCATAGCATGGTTCTTACATAGTAGCATAGCACTGATCACATTAGTGAGAGGCTTGTAGAGGTGCATGTTTATCCAAAATAACTAGTTATAAGACATAATAACAAATCAATAGAATGCTTAATAAGCTTGAGATTTACACTATAAAACATTATGTGAACTTATTAATTAATTATTTACGTTTTTCATGTAAAAATGCATTTTAAGGCTATAGTTCACAATGACACTCTTTTCATAAAATTTTGCTACACCCTCAAATAGGTAAAAGAGGATAATTCTGGTTATGTCTAGATTATACAAGCATACTGGAACTCCACCCAACAACTGGTAAAAACAAGTAGGTGCGTTAAAGGTACTTCCTGGTTTTCACAGTCAGAACAATTAGCTATCATCCTTTGTATTGAATGGTTATAGTGGGATACCCTGGTCAGTGAGCTTATTTGATTCCATTACGTAGATTTGAGCATACGAAATATGTTAATCATAATTCTGTATCAAAATAAGAATAGAAGAAGTAGAAAAATTAAATTCCACCTATATTCAAATTAAATGTTATTGTCAGAATCAAAATCTAGTTTTTTTCACATACAGTGGAAATTTTCATTTGGCCTCGCTTAGACAACAATAGAAAAACTACATAAAACAGCATATTTTACAGATGTATACAATTAATAAATCAATCTAATATAAATAACAGTATCATAAAATATAGTACAAAAACAAAAGATTCATGTATAAGTTGCATGCATGTATACAGTATGCTGTCAATGCAATGCTGTGAATGGGCTTATACTGTACATCAGAGTTTTCTTCTGCACTCATCTATATAAATAGTTATAAGCGGAGACTTATGACTGCTACAATTAGCTTGTTTTTAAAGGTCCACCTGGTACTGTCCATTGTCAGGAAAATGAAAAAAATACTTTTTCTTAAATTATGCTTTCTGGTTTTCTTAATAAGGCCACAGAAATGCTTGCAGTCACAAAATTGTGCATGGAACAAAAGGTGAATCTTGAGTTAATGTCATTGCTTGTATTATTTGATGGCATCTGCTGTCATTGAAACCAATGTGCCTGGCTTTGGTTTACTGGTACATTCATAAACATTTAAAATGGAATATTTAGAATTAATATTTTATTTATTCTTTTTTTCATTTTGTGTTTACTAAACATTTTAGACATTACAGTCACATACTGTATATTGATTGACAAATGGATGTTAGAATGTCAGAAAAAATGTAGAGTAGCTAATGCGTGATTAAATAGAAATGACTATTGTTGGAACTTTACTTGCTGTTTCAACAAGTATGCCTTTTCTGTTTTCTCAGAAGTCTTTGATGTAGTATTTTTTTAACTACATACAGTAGGAAGTAACTCAAGTTGATAAACCTTACAATTGAATTAGAAATGGATCTTCTGGAAATGGAACATATAATGTTCCTAATGTTTTATTGCGATTGAGATCCTGTGTCTTTTCTTTGCAGGTAACATCATATGGATGTCATGACAATGGAAGATGTGAATTGTAACTGACTGGTTTTACAAGATGGTACAATGGATGACATAAACAGCTCTAACTCTAAGCACAAAGATTCTAATGGATTTGTTAATAAAGTATTTAATATTTCCCTAGACGTGGAGAATACAACAGGCATAATGAGAATACAGGAACCTGACCTCTGTGAAACACCTGTTGTGTGTCAGGGTGTAGGTAAGGAGAAAGTGGAATTAAACAGGAAGCCTAAAAACACTGGAATCTGGAGAATCATCACCAGGAAGAAGAATCCAACAGGATATGGAAGAAGGCCCCATTCTATGATTCTTCCTGGAGAGACTGTGGTACCTAAGTTATCATTTGTAGACAAGGTGAAATCTTTCAAGAAACTGAAGTCTACATCAGTTTTTAGAGGGAAAGGAAGCAAGAATGCAAAGTTCAGCACTATTCTTAAAGATGAACAGGAAGAGGAGTCACACTTCAGAGACCCCTCCTCCCACGTATTTTCACAAAGGAACTTGTTCAGAAATCGAGGTAAAAGACATTCCTACGCAGGCTGCACCAAAGACTTTGACTGCTCATTTGAAGATGTAGACATTACAGTACCTTCTGAAAACATTGATAATGAAAACCAATGGCTCAGGGAACTCTCAAATCATCAGAATGGTTTTAAATCCATTGAGGGTGTGTCTTACATAAAGAGGACACATACCAATTTCTCAAACTGTAACAATGCAACTCTGCTTGAAGAATACAGTATAAAGGACTGCCCAAAGACATTTCAGGGAGGAAGAAAATCTAAAGGTGCTGATGTTTGGAGTTACCTAAGGAAAATTTCTTTTATTGGGAAAGGGAACTCAAATCTAGCAGAAAAAAGTTTTGACTCTGAATTAAATACCTTTGACAAGACAATTGATTCAGATTGTGCCTCCTCTGACTTTGAATGTATCAGAGATCCTAACTCCTCCCCTAAACACGCAAGTGCTGATACCAAAGGTAATCATTTTGGTGGTTTATTCAGGTGGTTTAGTAATGTGGCTGAAACAGCAAGGAAGTGGAGAAACTCTTCACGGTCTTTTTCACCCCCAGAAGAAGGCCACTCTTCTTTGGGAACTCATAGTGCTCAGAGATCTGGTGAGTTTAGTCAAGTTATATCATTAAGCTCAAAGAATGAAACTAAGATCATGTCCCCAACTCCCAAGACTGTTCTGTCCTCAGACCCAAGTTTATGTGATACCCTTTCATCTCCTAGTTTAATAGGAGAATCTCCACAGGTGACTTTAAAGTCATGGAGAACCTGTCCAGATTCCCCCAGTCCTAATGGATACCTGTCTGTAGCAGCTGAAGCATCTCCACACTCACCTCACAAATTGGTGGCTTCTATAGAGAATCGCGAAAGCCACATACCTGCTGAAAGTGGGATTTGCCTTGAAAAAGAACCAGAGTCAGATAGAACTTCAAGCCACAATGATACAGGAAATTGTCTAGATTCCATGAATGACTTTGTTTCTACCAAAGAAAGACAGGATCAAACTGGGCACAAGAATGATGAAAATGAAGAAAATTACTCAAACAGCAAAACTGCTCCACATCACTCAGGAAATAAGGTAAGGTTTTTTAAATGATTAAAAAGGTATTTAAGCTATACATTTAATCATTTAATACAATTAATTACATTACAAATAATTTAGTAAAAACATGCACGTATGTATGGTTATAAATGTATTGATTTATATGATTTATTGTACATACACCATATACTATTAATATTGTTTAGTTCACCAACTCTGGCATGCTTCTGTGAAGTGAGATCAACATTTTTTCTTTCTTTTAGCGTGCACCTTTTAACTAAACAAATACATAACTTTTAAATGCCACTATTCTTGAATTAATTCAGCACATTACAATTTTAAGTGTTACTTCAGTCAATTTATACTTCAGTCTTATTATTCTTTATTTTTTAATGTGTAATATCTTACTCTTTATTACAATAATAGTACAACTTTTTATACACTTACTCACTTTGTCTTTCTTGTTTTTTTATCATTTTTCATTAGAATATGATTACAAAATAGATTGTATGTTATGTATTGAAACTATTAGAATTAAAATTATTACAGTACAATTATTTTTAACAAATATAATTTCTCCAAATGTGCTACTTCACAATACCAGATAAAGTTGGAATCCCTTTTGTTTAACTAATCATTTTTCAAGATGGATTTACCATAACACATTGAGAAGCTGAGTTGCCCTTAAACAGTTAGAATTCCATATATAAATTCAGTACTACACTTTCACTCATTTGAAAAAAACAACAATTTGAAAACTGGCTTTAACTGGCCATAGGTTTACAAGTACATTCAATAACAGTGAAAATGTCATAAACTTATAGAAATACCTTTACACATTAGCAACCTTCTTACCAGTAAAACTATGAATGGTTACATTGAGTACAGAACAAAATACAAGATTAACAATAACTGTACATTAGGTTATCAGTCAAATCTAAATTCATATAATGAATATTTTAATTATATTCTTGTTAACTGGTGAGAGTTTATTATTATGTTGATGAAATTTACACGATTCAAAGTTTATTATGTTGAAATTTGTTAAGTGTGCTCCAGTTGGTCATGAACAGCTCTAATGAATTAATTATATCAACTTTATATATTATCATTATATATTATGAAATGTGGATAGGCATACTTAAAATCATAAACTGCTTGGTGTTTTACTTTTTCTTTAACCAACCTAAAAAGACAGTAATTTAACAAATTGGGAATATTGCTGAATAATACAGTTTCTTTGGAAAACACACACCAATTTTTGGATGAAAAATTCATCGGTTATATAATGTTAACTTAGGTATGTTTATGCAAAACGTAAACCAGATGCTATTAACATTCTAGAGAGGTTTAACAAAAGCTCTTCATAATGTATTGTAATAACTGACTAAAATACTGTTTTTCTTGTGGTAAATGTGAATGCAGCAATAATTACTCATAGACGAAATTACTACTGATACCATACATTTCATATTCTAGTCCTATAATATTCCCTGTCTGCCATTAACAGAGCTAAAACCAGTCAATTCAGTGAGTGACATGATTAGATTTCGTATTGAAGAAAAGTCTTTGATACCGGGCAATTGTAAAAAAATGTACACAGTTATAAATATCTCTAGAGACATGTTAATAGGCATTTGCTAACTTTTTACTTATAGTGTTTACTAGATAAATTACAAACCTGAAATACTGGCTGTTCTCCAATGCCTAAACAACCTTGTAAAGATGTCAGGACCTATTTACTAATTGTGTTGTTCCATTAACTAGCAGTGTATTTCTTTGACAATAAGCAGAACAGCAGTTTACAACACCACATTTTCAGTGAGTCAATGGTATCATTATGTTTCTTCATTGAATCCCCTTCTTAAATACAATGACAACAGCAAAGTTGGATTTTCTTAGCTTGTGGTTGTTAATTTCTTTTTTCAGTAATGCAATAGTTCTTAAGATCAATTTCTGCACAATATACAGTACCAGCAGAGGGAAATAACATTTTAATATACATCCATCCATCTTTTTACCACTTCATCTGATTCAAAGTTGCAGGGAAACCAGAGTCTCTCTCGGCAAGCAACATGTTCAAAGTGGGCTACAAACTGGATGGGACACCAGTCCATAGCAGGGCACACACAGACTCATGTACACTCAGACCAGAGCTGGTTTTCCCAAAAGCCAATTAACCTGCCAGTATATTTTTGGACTGTGGGAGGAAACCAGAGCACCTGAAAGAAATCCACCTGAACACACGAGAACATACAAACTCCACTCAAATAGCACTCCAGGTCTAGAATTGAACCAGGGCTCCAGTGCAGCCTTGCTAACTACTGTGCCATTGTTCCCCAGCATTTTAATATAAAGCGCAATATTTTAGTTTTGTAAAGTCAAATATATGACATTCGTCTATATCAAACCCAAAAGGCAAGTGGTATCTTGACTACATATCTCCAGCATGTATAGCACATTACAATACATTTAAAATCTTATGGCAAATAACATGGAGTCTTCTGTTATGTCATTTATTTTGCATACCTTGTTCATGTATGTTCCAAAAACATGTAATAAAAACCTGTGGCAAATGAAATCCTTTCTAATGTGCCATTACATCTGGGAACTGTAACTGTAGTTTAACTATGAGATAAGAATGAAATTAAAGAGAAGAAAATAAATAATGTTTCTTTTCAGAGAGAATATTATTTCTCAGTCTCAATATTTCTCAGAACAACCACTATCAGGTTGTCGGTTATTTGTTTATAACATGAATTGGAGTAGTCTAATAATTGTGTGGTCTAGTTTTGGATTAAAATAGTTTTTCAGTTTTTGTCTTTTAAAACATATGTACTGAAATACTTTTGCTCCACCTGCTGGGGAACAGAGAGAATATACAAAAATCCATTTTAACCCCATTTTTACAGATCTGAGAACTATCTTGATAAAAAAAATATATATCTTTTGAGAACATGCCTATATATTTTTGTCAGGTCAGTTTAAAGTACCAACTGTTCAAGGAAATTGACTTAACCACATAATTTGCTGTCTAATGGCTGTTAGCTTTCTAATATATAATTTTATAATTATTAAAAATTGTAGTTCATGGGTATTCAAATTGACAGTTATTTTTATTTTTTGAATAAATTGATTTATTAGAAGTATTTCTCAATTTTAAGTCCTGACCTCTATAAAACATTTTAAGATCCAAATATGTATTAATGTTACTGTAATAACAGTATTAGATTAGAATGGTATGTTATGAGTAAATGATGAAGTTGTAAAGTGAAGTAGAATTACTTGTATAGCCATGCCTTAATTATCACATAATAACATTTTTTTGTAATGTTAAACCTTTTCATTATGACTTAGAGTTCTGTCAGCATGATACATTACCAGCATGATACATAAGGGAAATAAAAAAAAACACTGTACATAGAGATGTACACAAAATTAATCAGATCTTTCTTGAACACACTTTTAATTCTACTTCCTTTAAAAATGCATATCTAATAGCCACCTTACAAAGACATGCAGACTCTGTATGGCAAGCCAAACTATAATTTAGAGATGTAACACCTGTCAAAGAATGGTAGCCAATATTGTTTAAATTAGATAATAGTTTCTCTCCCTTCATTTTTCATACGAAACAAGGATCTGCCCGATGACCACTGTTTGGAGATGGAAAACCAACATGTCCCAAGCCTGTCAGAGCTCAACAGCTCCTCTTTAATCGTCACTTCACCAAAATGGAAGAAGCGTCGCCCAACCTCAGCCTACACTATGATTCTGAACCTACAGAGTCCAATTCTAGAGGAGGGGTCTGTTTCAGCCTTTGAAGCCAAGACTGGCCATGTGGATGAAGACCCAACAGCTTTGAAAAGCCAGATTTTTCCTAACAATCAGTCTGACGTCCCCCTGAAAAGGCCAGTTATGCGACAGAGACCTCATTCTGTAATAGATGGGGCTTCTGTCACCAAGACAGAGTCTCTGCATCCTCTCAGAGTAAGAACTGATGACCCCTGTCCTTGCCTGTCTGCTTCTCTCATGATGTATGAGTCCTGGACACCACCTTAAGCTGCACTGTCATTCTGTCTCTTGCCTTTCTGTGTGGCTTTAGCATGACTAACATATGCTGGAAACTTAAAAGCATCTTTCAAAATGTGGATAATATTAATACGGTCACGAGAACTGCTGAAAGTCAAGTAGCCTCCAACGTAGTTTTTAAAGGTAGGAGTTTCTGTGAGATTCTATGCCCCTTGTGCTCTGAATATGCCTAATTCCACATATTATTAGTTTAACTGTAATTAGACTTCACTAGTAAAAGCAAACAGAATATCACAGCTGAGCAGTTCAAAAAGCACATTGTAATGGGAAAACTCTGTTTTTTGTACCTGTATCTTGCACTCAAATTAGCTTGCCCCTTTTTAGAATTTAGCAGCTGCTGCAATGAGAGGTTTTTATTAATATGAATTTATATTAATTCAATATAAATATTTATTTTAGGCATTTGGATACAAACATTCTTTCCCCACTGGGCACAACTTGCTTTTGCTCTCTCCCTCTCAATAGTAATGTTATGTTTAATTTCCCAAGTCACAACAGATTGAGGAACTACAGCAGGTTTTATTAGATTTATTTGGGAAAAAGTAAATTCTATTTGATATATGTTTCTAAACTAAAAATACTTATTAATTTCTTATGTTGGTCATAAATCCCAAAACAATCTGTTCTTAAGTCTGTTCTTACAATTTGCAGTTAATATTTGTATATATATATGTAGCAAAGGGTCATATACAGTACCTAGTACAAGCATTTCTGAAATGAAAGAAAAGTTATATTGTGGTAAATTAATTTTATTTAAGTAGTTAAATATGCTGCCATGTGCTTTTTATAAAAGATTGCTTTATAACTTGATTTTCAAACAATAAAACTTCAGATGATTTACAGTTCAGAGTTTGTTACTTTCATAAACAGGGACAGATAATAAGGTTTTTAGGGGTGTTATTGCTGGTTCCATGGTGATTTAAGAATAAGGAGATGTATCATTACTATCAGCTGTAAATCCGTATTATGAAGGCAATGCAGTTCTAATCACTCAGTGATGTTTAGAGTAAACACTTCTTTTTCATCAGTATTTATTCCAGGACATCCAACTCAGCACTTTTTATAATCCACTAGAGATGTGACACTCAGAGAGCGTTTATCCTATGTGAGAGATGTTTCTGTCTTGGCTTGTTTCTTCTTGAGATTGACAGAGTAGACTATCTTCATGCTTCGTTTCAAAGGATAAAAAAGACAGGTCTGTTTGGCTTATATCATATCCATTAAAAAAAGATAAGAAAAAGATGCTCTTTCTCAACTCATTTATTATTTATGTGTTAACTTCTCACAATCCAATTTTTGTTACACCCTCTGTGTCATTAACAGGTTTAGTGTACGAAATGGCTAAACATAAAAAAATATATTTCACATATAATTTTTGCACTTTAGATTTATGACCCATTTTCTAAAATGGCTTCAGTCACTCATCTTTTATGTTTAGTTACAATTCATGCTCCACAAATGAGCCCTCCACTGAGAACCCTTTGTTTTTCTTGCATTATTTAATAAAGTTTTGATGATGAAGGAGGTCAACAAGAGACAGTATTGTCTTTCAGTGTTTCAGTTAAATTCTAATAATGAATTAAACAGGCCAGTAAATATAAAGGGACAGAGCACTTAATTGTTGAGGTTGAGGAAATGACAATGCTGGCTCAAAAATCATTGTCACTTACAAGGAATGAACCAGGGAGCTGCAGCAATGGTAAAGTTAGGATGGAAGAAGGGGTGTAGTAAAGCAGCATGCAGAATTATGGGCAGCCAGTGATTATTAAATGTAGCAGGGCAGGCGTTTGACACAAGAATAAGACCTTCTCTTGACCTTCTGTTGCACAGTGTCACACCATTTTGTGCTACCACTCTCTAGACACATGAACTGGAGTTTAGTTTCCTTTTCCGTAAACTGTGTGCAAGAAACTTCTTCCAATGGCTTTAAGTGTATCAACAGATGGCATGCAGATTTTTGGAGACAGCTGAAAGAAATTGAAGGAATGCAATTCAATGTCAACTCAATTGTTATAGTTTAGAATGTTCAGCAGGCAATTAGCTGTTTTGTGTTTTACTGTGGTGAACGAGTTACATTCTTATAATGGTGTAGCTTCATTAAACAAGTATATATTGATTTATGACTACTTAAGCCAGCTGTAGTGATTCTGCAGTAATTTCTATGCTATTGTTATCTATTGCATATATATTTTGTGGCAAGACTAAGACTGAATAATCATGCTGATACAAGCACACCTACAGCTTACCACCCACTCACATATATATATAGCATTTATGGTAATGAATCAACAAGATACCAACATTTTACATTAATTAGGAGACTGCCACAAAGCTACAATCTATGTACTAGATCAAACCAGTTTGGGAGGGTTTACATCTATCGTGGACAGTATATACTTTGTTCTTCATTCTTCTTTTCTAGCTCTCTGCTTTCATACTTTTTTCTGTGATTGCACTGTTTAGTCCATCTTGGTTGGGAACAAAATACATCTTTTAAAAAACTGGGAAAATCAAAGACATTTTCTGTCAGCAGCTTTTCTTCACTGTATATTGTCTTTCTTTCCCCTAAACTAAATCCCTACGTTTTCAATTAATCTACTAATCAAGTTTTTTTTTTCATTATTTTTGCCACTTTGGAAAAATGCTTATTAGCTCAGAAACTACTCAATAAATTATGGAACAATAATAATTTATTCACTCTTTAGTTTTCAGCAAAATCCCCAAGAACTTTCTAAATGTATCTCCACAATTTGTAAGTAAAAACAATTGATTTTATGTAGTTGGAAACCATGAGGCACTACAGTTGATTGCATTTATCTTATTAATGCATTCTAGAACATTCTCAGCACATATTTTGAGCCAACTAAAACATCTTGAGGGATTCTTAATTTGTCTCAAAATCCATGAAAATGTTTCATGAAAATCGTATACAAATTTGTCACATAACATTGAAAATAATAAAAAAATATCTAACTGTACTTTTGGAAAATATTCATCATTATTTATTGACATTAAGTTCATATACAGTAAATACCAGTCAAAATAATACAGCTGTGTCAAATGTAAGGCAACAAATGAAATATATTTTTTTCCTAAGAAATGGTCCTGATTTGTCTAAATTACTTATTTTTTTGCAGCCACTCTCTCGTCCTCCAGGACACTCTCCCTGTGGTTCATCTTTTAAAGCCGCACTGCAAAGATGTCATTCTCTGCCACTTTCACAGAGCACTCCAGCAGGCTTGGATGAAGCAGGCTGGAGCCACTTGCTGCACCAACCAGGTATTACAGACCCTAAATGCTTATTTATTAAGGTTAGACTGCAGAAAGAGAGCAAGGCCTTTTAGGTTCATGAAAAAAGGGGAACAGTATTTTGGTGTGGGGGTCGTGGAAGAGAACCGGTGGTCTAAGACCAAATCGTGATAAATAGATGGTGCTTTCAACTCCTGAAGCACTCTGATTTTTAAGATTGACTTTATTTTGAACTATATGCGCAACTCATAATACAAACCCTCTTTCTTTTCTGTTTTAAAATTCCTTTATGAGGTATGCTTTATGTTGGTAAGGCTGATTTGTTTTAAAGTAAGAAAATCCTACACTGTTTCGAAGGACTTGTATGTGACGTTTTTCTCCATGCTAATTAGGGAATGTGAGGTGATCAGGAACCACAAAACCTGGCTGCAGGTGGCCTGGTGTGTGAATGCTGAGTTTACATCAGTGTCCATCTTTCCAACAGCTGAGGCCATGTTGACACGTGATGGTGATGGAGGCACAAGCAGGAGGCGGAGGCTAATAAGGCCTGGAGCTGAACAGCTGCTAGTCAATAATGTAAGTGAAAGAGAAAATGCTTTCTCAGTCTTTAGACCGCACACCAAAAGGTCATTGAGCTGTGCGGTAAAGCACACATTTCACAGGCAAATGTAGACGCAGTTTATTTTCATGTCTTTCTCCAAAGACGGAAGTCTTCAGTTGTCATAAATTGGCACAAACCAGCAAGAGGAGCTTAAAAGCTGGTATACTATGTTATAATTGGGTAATAGTCTTGGGAATAAATGCTGTAAATACTCAAAAAGGTATTCTTGTCTGTCAACATGGGTATATTCACCATTATACATGTATTCCAGCCAGCGTGTCGCCATAACGTTTCTGTTTTTAGTGGCTGGTCTACAAGATTGACAGTACCTCTTAGGGTATTTAAGTTTTGCCTTGGTCTCCGCTCCAGACAAGGAACATCTACATGGTCTTGTTTCATTGTTTTTCTCTCATCTTTCCTTAACTCAGTGTTTTTAAATCCCCACTTACACATTTAATTAGGCATTGGAGATTTCTACCCAATTCCTTCCATGTCACCCAATAACACTTCTCACTTCATTAATCTGTATTATAAACAAACTACTTAACCAGTTCTGCTGTTTTAACTCTTCACTCAAACAGCCCACATATTTCTTTACTAGGTGTATGGACAATTTAATCATTGATCACCACTTGCACCCCTGACACAGCAGCAAGTTTGTTATTTCCCTCTTTAATACCTTTCACACAGAGACCACTGTCTGCTGATGGTAAAGTAGGAGTACTCAGGACTCCACTTGTGTTACCTAGACTCCCTTCGCTTTTGACTGGAAACAGAAGATAAACTGCTACTGTACCAGGCGCTGCCCTCCTCCTTCACATGCTAATGCCTCACATCACCCTGGTTCAGCTGGCAAGGCCTGTCTTTGGCATATCAGTCTAGTCTAAGCTATGCTTCACTCACTAGAGTCCCACGAGTCTCTTAAGCTAGCTCAACCTCACTTGGTCTCTACCAAGACCTGCCTTCAGATCTTCCACTCTCTTCCCATCCATACTGGAGTCTCCTGTCTGTTCTTATATACCTTCCAATTATCCAGGGGAGTGGCCAATTCCACACAGGGCTGATCCTTTCTGCTCTTCTCTCGCATGTGGAATCTCACCCCCTTTGGATGCCAAATACTCAGTTAGCCCACGTGCGTCTCCTTTTTAACCTGGCCTTTCTCCTTAATAGGAGGTTTTCTCTAAGAGACACCTCTTCCTCACAGCGTGCTTATCATTTGCTTGTCACATGCATGTCACATGCATGTACAACAAAATTAATACAATTACAATAATGCTAGCACAATAAAAGTAAGAAGTATTGTAGTATGCTCCTTTGATTTTTTTAATACCTCCATTTGCTATGTATCTTTTTTCTTTAAATATTTAGGGTCTTAATTTGCTTATTTAATATACTACACAATCTGTAATAGTTTAGAAATGTTGAATATTTGTATATTATAAGAACATGGTTGCTTACTTTCAGAAGGCTACTTGAGAGGCCAGAGAATGACTAGGAAAGCAAGGCATGGGAATTAACTCAGAATATTCCAAGGGGTTAGAGAGACAGGTGTGAAGGTATGTTAATAAGTTATGTTAAAAGGAGAGCCGATAAAATATTATTTTCTTGTATTCATTTTTGCGTGGAGAGACACACATAATGTAAATTTTCAAGTGATTTGCTCTGTTGGTTAACTTGAAAATTGATTTGGAAACCAAGAAAAACAGAGTGAAGTTCAATTTTTAAAGGCTTTTTTGTAATGTGCTTTCCCCTAACATATTGCACAATTGAGCAGTAACCGATAGTTACTTCAGTAAATGAAGTAAACGAGGCTTCTGTCACAGTGAAATGCTGCTAAACAATTTAACATCTTGTCATTATTTGTGATGGACTTGGCAGATGAAGAACAGTTTTAGGATGCAAATTGTGCTTTAGGGACATGGTGATATTAATGCAAATTACATATTTAAAAATGCAATTAATATCAATAGTTATATTAGTGATCAAATTGTCTTAATTGGAAGTTAAATATAATATCTGGTACTGCAGATATTATTTTACCAGTATTGTTAGTTTTGAAGAATTCATTAAGGTAATCTATTTTAAAATAAAATTATGCAATGCAAAATATGTATTCATGTCAACTCTATGTGCCTCAGAATTTTTTTAAATATCCATTTTGTTATTTTTGAATGAAGAGGGTGCCTGACGAAACTGACATTATACACTTTATGTCATTTCTGTGTTGTGTTCGCTGTCTTCGGGCTCTCCCTTTAATCCTTCACTTACAGGGCTGTACTTCAAAGCATTTTACTTGAAGTATTCCCAGGCATGTCCACGGTAACCTGATTTAGAGATGAGCTAAACTCATGAACTGGCTGATTACCTCTTGCAGAAGGACGTGGTTGCCATGACATAACAATTTTGTCTTAGTCTCTGTAGATACCTTGTTCAAGAGGAGGGTGCACTTGAATGTGTGTGCATTAATTTTAAAAAAGAAGCTGAAATATTAAGCACCAGGAAAATTAAATTTTAAAATAACATTTGCAAAATCCACTTCAATACTCGGATAAGCTAGCGAAGGGTCACTGCAGCACACTTGCTTTAACTACAAAGGCTTTCAGAGTATGTAGATTTTGTACTGCAGTGGATTAGCACTATATCTTAATGCAGCAGTCTCTCTTTCCTCTCTTTGATTTTGCTGTATTTGGAGTGTGCTAGTTTTTTCTAAGAAGAAAACAACAAGAATTAAGTCTAGTTAATTGTGAAAAAAAACTTATTTGTGTAGCAGTGATCTAATACATATTTTTTTCACGCTGGCTGCAGTACTTAATACAGTATTGGAGGAAAAACTCTGAAACCTTTTTTTTACGGTCACAGAGAAGCAAGGCTAGTTTTTTTTGATGAGATCCACTTGTTTAGGGTCAGTGATAAACAAGACTGATTATTAAGAAGAGTGATTATTTTTTGGAGACATTTAAGGAGATATTATTCTTGTTACTGCATTTATCTCATTATGCAGCTGTATGTATTAACAGATGAGTCAGCAAGATAACAAAGCAAAAGAGAATGGGAAGGGACAAATGATTAAAAAAAATAATCTCTTCCTCTCATGCATGTAAATTTAATAACCCTCCATACAGATGTTAAGGCAGTGCTCACCTCTAATATGTAAACATGTTTTATAGATGCATTTTTTTCAGGCATTAGAAATCTTTTGAAGACTAGGCACAGAGGACACTTTTGCATCAGATTCAAAACTGTTGGATTGTTTTGAGGGAAAATAGAACTCTTTGCTTCCATATTTGTAAGCACACAGTTTTCGTCAGCAGCCTTTGTTTTAGAATGCTTCTTTATTGTGTGTCTAAGAGGCTGTCGGTAAGGCAGTGCTCTGTCTTATTTTCTTTTCCTGAGTCCCTCTGTGTTGGTTTTGTTGTCATACTGTATTTCTGTTTCAGATACTAACTGTTCTGAGCTTTCTGTCCAAGAAAGATCCCCTTTTGGTTTTGCTCCGTTTCCTGGGTATTTCTACATTAAACCTCTGTATTTATTTAATTGTTACTCATTAGTTTCTGTCTGACTAAACTAAGTGTTTACTGTCAGGTTCCTTTCCCTGTTTTGTGAAAGCTGGGGTGTATACTATTTTTTACACGTTTTTCTGCAGGGTCTACATTATCCCGGGATGATCCTGAGACTCCTGGTATGTTTTTGTGCTATTAAAAACTGGCTTGTGCTTTTATTGGACTTCAAATTTCAATTAATTCTGTTACGTTTTATGCTGCACCATTTCAAGAGCTTCGCTTGCTAAGTGAAACTGACAAATATTGTACATAGATGTAATTTGGATTAGTACAGTAGTATTTAATACTAAATAATTAGTTTAAGGGTTTAGAAGGTTTTCCAAATCAAAATTGCAAGTTTTTTTTAGTTTCATCCATTGTATTTCATAATTACATTGTTTACTGAGTTATTTGGACTTCTATGTAGCCTTATTGATAATTAAGTACAATGCAAGGATCTCCTGCCTGCTTTTAATCAGGCTCCCTGTTTTATCCTAACAGACGATTCAACAGTTAATGAAACTTGAAACTTGAATCCTTTTCCCTTGTATAACAGTCATTTCTTGAGCTGGGGGGGGGGGGCAGTTATTTAGTATTCATGAGTTTTAATCCCATACTTGCAATGTTTAAGTGTATGTGTGACTTGTGTTTAGAGTATTATAGCAGAACTTGATTAGAATTAAGAATGTATATTGGAGGCGCTGAGGAAATGTGGTAGTTCAGATTCTGAATGTCATTTGAATGTGTTTGATATGCAGATATGTGTCATACATCCCACTTATCAGGGCTTGCAACTTTTTAGCAGCTACTGTATTAACTTAATTTTTTTTTATTTTCCCAAATGGAAATGATTTATTATCATTTTAGGTATGCATCTGAAAATGTGAGATTTTATGTGAGTATAAAGTTAAATAGAGTATACAACTGTATATTTTTATTCATAATCACATTGATCTACAACACATAATCTCAACAATTCCTGGTAAAATGTATGAGTCATTATAAAGTTTTGCAGATTATCAATGACATCATCAAAGTTGGTCAAATATGACTCATTGTCAAGTTTTTCTCATCACTGATTTAATTGGTTATTCACCATTCATAAAATAATAATAAATTCATAATTATTAAATGTATGTATTTTTTTATTCCAAATGATCTCAAAGAATTTTATGTATAGGAGAAGATTCTCTTTATCCACTAATAAATTGCAATCACTACCAATGTGTAGCATCCACCTGGATGATGCGACAGCTAGGCAGATTGTGCCAGTACGCTCACCACATATAGGCTATCAGCGGGGAGGAGAACAAAGTAATGAAGGCAGTTAGAAATGGGGATCATTAGGAGGCCATGATTGGTAAAGGGAAACTTTGGCCAGGACACTAGGATTAACATCCATAATCTTTTTGAGAAACACCCTGGGATTATTAATG